ACACACACACACACACACACACACACACACACACACACACACACACACACACACACATCGTCACGCAACTCAGGGGAGTGAATGTGATGTGGAAGGAAACAGACTTTGGTACGAGAAAATTTGCTAGAAATTTATGAGAGAGTTTCGGGCCGGACTGTGCGAATGCAATCGGTCGGTCGCCCTTGCACTCACCGATTGCGAAGAAATGTGTGTAGCAGCGGTCTATCATTGGCACGGGCCTTTCTGGCAAGTCCGCCAGTAGTTCGTCATCGCCAGAGAAGCGATCAACCATCATGCCTCGGTCTTTAGGCTCCACGTCGTCGACGGCGGCGACGGTAGAGGAATGCGCGCCGGCATCTTCCGCTTTCCTTGAAAACGTGGACCCGGATGCGTCGGGACCGGCTGTGCAAGCATCCCCCATTCCCGCCGTTGCTTCTGCCATTTCAACGTCGCGGCTGGCGGTCGTTCCCCCAGTTGGCTCTTCTTCTCTGTCACGCACCATAGTTGAGGGGTAGATAATAATCTCAGGTCGCTTTTTCCATTTTCCCTTTTTGGGCCGTTATTCGCGGTGAAATGAGTGCGCAGTATGTTTTCGGTCTTCCCGCGAAAGTGCGAAAATTCTCGCCAGTAGTGCTCTTCCCGGGAAAGTGCGAAATTCTCGCCGGGGCTTGGTCCCACCAGTGCGTTCCTGAAGTTGCCGGCTACCACGACCATTCAGGGGTGGACCCCACCGCCCAGCGGCTGGAAAAGGAAGTTGGCCGCCGGTTGCTGGCCAACGTCGGTGGAAACTTTTTGGCACGATTCGTGCAGACCCCACCGCGGACTTCTGGCGGTGTTTTGGAAACGAGCTCGCTTGCTCTATTAGGAAACCCGAGAGGGTCCCCTCCCGAAAAGGAAAGCACGGACGGCCTGCATTCTGGTCTTTCGTGTTGGTTTGTCCATGTGTGAAGTTGCATGCCGTCCACGGCACCGTGCGACGGTTTTGGGAGTCCCGGTGCGGCGTCCCAAGGCACCAGGCTACGAAAGCTGCAACGGCAAAATTTTTGGGACGTGCCGTGCCCTGCTCACCCGCGGAATTCAAAATCCTGTGGTCCGGCGGGGAGATAGGACGTGTCGTGCTCTGCTCACCCGCGGAATTCAAAATCCTGTGGTCCGGCGGGGAGATACTCGTGCATATCCAGTGTTCCCGCGGTGGTGTCGTGTGGGCGGCTGTGCAGGCGTTGGTATGTTGGTGTCGCTTGCATCTCTGTCAGTGGACGTGTTGGAGGTTGTAGTGGACGGCAGCCATGGCTGGCACTTTGAGATGTGGGATGAATAGCCAGGAAAGCGAGGATGCAATGTGCATGCTGCTTTTCGTCCTTTTCCAATGGGTGAACAGACGAAACATGGCAGCGTTGGCAGTCGTGGAGGCAGTGTCGTTGATGCCTTTCGTCCACCAAAATGTCTCCGCTGCGGTTACACTGCTGGCGGGAGGGCTGTTGCACGGTTTTGCTCTGGGTTCGTTGGTGGTGGAGGAGATGGGGAGGACAATGGACCGCAGACGTCGTCTATGGGTGTTGGAGCGTAGCGGCAGTCTTTGGAAGGATCTCCAACGAGTGGGGGCTGAGCATGACAAGGTTTTCCTTCGGTTTTGCAGACTCCCACGCCCCCTGTTCTTTGAAGTTCTTGCTCGAGTAGGACCCCATATCCAGCGGTCGCCCACGAATTACAGATTGCCAATACCCGCCGGACAAAAGTTTGCATGCGCTTTCATGAGATGGGCTACTGGCGGTTATTACAGGCAGTCCTCCTACTGTTTGGGCATCGGCCTTGCAAGTGCTTTGCGCAGCAACGAGGAAGTGGTCGACGCAATCATCCGGGAGTATGGTCATCTGCTACGGTTCCCTACAGGGCAACGGTTGGAGGACGTGCAGAATGGCTTCGAGAGAAAAGGCTTCCCCGGGTGTGTTGGCGCGATAGATTGCACGCATTTGTATATTGAGAAGCCGAAGGGGGAGCAATCGGAGTGCTACTACCATCACACTGGGGGCTTCTCTGTTGTGGCGCAAGTCGTTTGCGACCACGAGTGTCGGATTTCTAGCGTTTATGTGGGTTGTCCGGGGTCTGTGCATGATTCGAGAGCTCTGCGCATGTCACCACTGTTCGTGAATGCCACGGAGGGTAGAGGAGTCTTGGCTGAGGGAGGTGCCATGCTGCACGACGGTAGACATATTGGCCGCTATCTGTTGGGTGATCAAGGGTACCCTCTGCTTCCATGGCTCATGACCCCTTTTGGTCGGTTCGCTCGAACGTCGGCAGACCGAGCTTTCGATTTGATCCAGAGTGCAGCCAGGTCGTGCATTGAGCGGGCTTTCGGACGTCTGAAGGCGGTTTGGAGGAACTTCATCCGAACACATATTTGCAACATGAAGACCTTCTGCAAAGAATTCATGGCCATCTGCATTCTTCACAACCTCATGATCGAGCACAACGTGCAGATCGACCCGGCGTTGATGGAAGACAGCAGTGACAGCGATGGAGACGATAACGAACATCGGAACTGTCGCCGACGCCGGCGCAGGCGTCGATTCAACCACCATCTCTCGAACTTGAACATCGAGGCGGCGGCGGAGGATGACCCCACTTATGGGGGGGAACTCACGCAGCATGTCAGGGCCAGCCTGGTGGAGCACGTGCGCCACCACGTGACAGTCCACAGGGCTCCTCCCCCATGCCCATGGCGGTAGTGCTCTTCTTTCATTTTTTTGTGTGGTTATGTGAGACAACCCAAATTTAGGACGGTGGAGGTCTCGGACAAGATGTTCACGCAGATGAAGGTCGGTAGGTGGACGGGGGTGTGGGCGTAGAAGTTCCGTGTCAGAATTGTCGGTCGTTAGTAGGTCCTGTTGGGTTTAGCGGAGCGTCGTCCTTCAATACAGTGAGCGGATAGCCGGCTTCCGCAGGTGCGCTTTTGTGGCAATATACGAACATTTATTCGTGAATGTACTTAAAAAAAGTTTACATCGAGTTTTCGTTCATTCGTTGTCGGATAATGCACACTCCTGTGTTTTTTTATTCATCTATTTGAGGATTTCTCACTCTGAGAAGCACCATGCGGCAAACATTCCGACCACCCCAATTCCCTCCCGCAACATGTTAATGTGGAATAACCTAGCAGATAATTGCACGTAATGCAGGCGTCGAATGTTGCGAAGTGTGAGATGGAAAGACGGGACACATGCATTTCGAGGGGCGTACGTAATTAAAACCAACGATGCGCAAATTATTGAACAACAAACTGGCTTCGAACAATACATGACTGACGTGATGAAGTTGCATTGAACATCCCCCCGACCCCGTCATAACAATCCGTCGTCCATAGCATCACACCCGAAAAAACAATGGTCGCAAAAGAAAAGGAAGGAAGGGACGCGATACACCTGAAACACGAACACAAAAAATAAATAGCACACAAAGTGCGTCATTCTCAAACTTTCAGAAAAGAACTCCATAGAAATTCATGATTCCATTTTTACATGGATTGAGTACAAAGTCCGACGATGACATAGAAAGGCATTCGTCGAAAAGCTCGAAAAACGTCTGGGTGAACTTCATCCCGCTGCCTGTCCGCAGACAGCGTCATCATCATCATCATCATCATCATCATCATCATGTGGTTAAAATCATCATCATCATCAGCGTCATACTCGTCATCAGCAGCGTCGTCGGCGTCGGCGTCGTTGTCGTCATCATCACCATCATCATCATCATATCGTCATCACCATCATCATCACCATCATCATCATCCCATGTCATCAACATCATCATCATCGTCATCATCATCATCATCATCATCATCATCATCATCATCATCATCGTCATCATCATCATCATCATCATCATCATCATCATCATCATCATCGTCAATCATCATCATCATCATCAT